ACATCTTTTCTCGTAATAACGACATCTTTTCTCGTTAAAACAACATCTTTTCTCGTAATAACGACATCTTTTCTCGTTAAAACAACATCTTTTCTCGTAATAACGACATTTTTTCGTAATAATTAGGCCATTCCACATTATTTAACCTCGTTTACAATATACCACAACATCACAAAGCTCATCAGTCAAATGTGACAGTTTCTATAATAATATTTTCATGAACATTTTACAAACTGCTCTTTTTACACACTTTGCTCCTTGTAGTCACTTTTAGCGCTTTTCCGCTGCGTGGTACGACTCTGCTCAGTATGGCTCAATACGGCACGGTTCGGCTCGCATTCACATGTCGTTATAGTTGCGCCGCCTCTACTGCCACGACTCCTAAAAAAAACTTTTTCATTCCGCATCACCCCCATCAAGCTCTTGTTGGATCCGCTCCTCTACTATCAACGAGAGGAACATCTGTACTTCTGCAACAGACAACAAAACTTTTTGGTTGTTAAAAAAAGGTGCGCTCGTTCAAAACAGTTGCGTTCGATCCTTCGCTGGCTGTGCTGATTTAAATCTAGCGGTTCTTTTGTGTTTGTGTCGCAAGTTCAGTGACGCGGGTAGTGACGATTCTCTCCGGCCAATCCGTGATCAGCAGAGTTTACACGTCACGTTTTGGTAACGGTACGATTCACTTGGAACCCCAACCGAAGTGGTACTAAAAAAAGTACCAAGTACCAGGTACTGTACCCAGTGGAAACCCCCCCCAAAAGTGAACCGTACCGAGCTGTACCGTGCCGTACCATGCAGTGGAAAAGTGCCATTTGATGGTTTGAATTGTAAACACGATGAGAAGCTGATTTAAAGGCACAATATGTAAGAAATTTTGTAATAAGATATCCAAAAACCACTTGCACATTTTTAAATATTTCCTGCAGTTGTGCACTTACGTTATCCCAAAAGTTCCCAAGGATTTGTAAATGCAGAGAAATTCCAATTTTAAATAATGGCTCATCCCGGTTTATTGTCGCCTATCAGTTACGTAATAACCATGCTATCGGTTTCTGCTTTTAGAAACTATGGCAACATACGTTGACAAAAATGCTGCTGTACAGTTCAACTAAATCTATTACAGCTGTAGCAAATAAAATGAAAATTAAATGAAAAGTGTTGACTGCAGCATTAAATTTTGATCTGCTCAATATTGCACCATGATGATTCTTTTTACGATCAGAGGCGTTCAGATGAGTCATCGCTCAAACACAGTGCGTGCGCTCGCTGACTGAATTTTGCTCTCTCGCGAATTCTCTCATCATAAATATCAAAATCCAGAAGTACGTATGATGTAAGTAGGAGATGCAGTCATCAAACAGTGTATAGACAGCTTTACTGATTATAAGGGGAGTTTTTGAGAGAGCTTAAACTCACGCTTGACTGAAGTCAGTTACTGTTCCTTGACGATGTAAATGTTCTTCGCTCGCTTTCTCTGTATAATTTACTCGCTGTTTGAATAACTTTGGAAGGTACAGGTTAAAAAAAATTTATTCATTACATCAGTGAACATGATTCGGACATCTCTGGATGGTGAAAACGGCATCTCCCATCGTTCCACTCTCCTTCATAGCATCAACAAGCTTCGCCTTCGTTATTATCGTATATAACCAGGGAGCCATGGTGGAGCAGGCAGAACAGGGCAGAACGGGCAGGACAGACAGTGAGTTCGGGAACGGCCTCCTTGGCCGTAGCAGGACAGGCAGTGAGTTCGTGAACAACCTCCGTGGCCATGACAGAGCAGACAGTGAGTTCATGAACGGCCTCCGTGGCCGTGGCAAGACAGTCTGTGAGTTCATGAATGGCCTCTGTGGCCGTGACAGGGCAGGCATTGAGTTCGGAAGCAGACGTCCCCACCTCAGGAGGTTCTGCAGTGGATGCTACCACTTCTGGAGGCACAGGAAAGGCCCTTGGAGCAGACTCGTGGTTAGGAGAGGGCTCTGAGAGAGACTCATAGGCAGGAGAGGCCACTGGGGCAGATTCATGGACAGGAAAGGCCTCAGGAGCAGATTCATAGACAGGAGAGGCCTCTGAGGCAGACTCGTGGACAGAAGAGGCCTCAGAAGCAGACTCGTGGACAGGAGAGGACTCTGGAGCACAGTGTGCAGCCCACACACTTAAAATGGCGACCGCCATTACAGTAAGGGCAGCAGAGTGTGGCATTACCTCTAAGATGGCGGGGCTTGAGAGTGCGTACGTCACCGGGATGCCTGCAGCTCGCACCGACATCAGAGGTGGGTCCATCACACTAGAAATCAAACCTTTCAGTCTTGGCCCAAGCTCCGCGTCCGACTCAGGCGTGGTGGCCATCTTGGCCGGGGACTCAGGCGTGGCGGCCATGTCGTGACGAGACTCTGGAAGATCAGTTGAGACGTGATGAGACTCTAGTAAGGCGGCCATTTTGTGAAGAGACTCCTGTGTGGCGGCCATCTTGCGATGAAGCTCTTGAATGCGGCCATGTTGTAAAGAATCTCTTGATGTGCCGGCATGACGTGAGCAAACTCTGGCTTGACAGACGTGTCGTGAGCAGGCCCTGGGGTAGCAGACATGACGTTAGCAGACTCTGGCTTGGCAGACATGACGTGAACAGGCTTTGGTGAAGTGTTATGTTCCTCCTGCATGACACCCTCAGTGAAGGCAGAGCCACTCATTCACAGAGCAAAGTCTATATATTGTTCAAGTGACCAGTGTGGGATATTGCGTGGCATTAAACTTGATACATTTTTGTCCGGAAAATGTCCTTAAGGAATGTTTCATTAAAATCTACCTGGTAGTAAAGCTCACAGAACTCAGCCACGTAATCCTCTATGGATAGGTCTCCCTGTCGGAGATGAACTAGGCAATCTGCTGGGTTCATTTAGCTGTAGGTAGTGTATTCTGTAACGAATTCAGTCCACTGAAGGCGAGCGTAGTGAAGAACCTAAGTGCAGTTTATTTACAGGTCATCCAAACATTAATCCGAGACTTGACATGACATAAACAGACTAGACTCACCGACAGCGGGTTACATCAAACCTTTCAGTCTTGGCCCAAGCTCCGCGTCCGACTCAGGCGTGGTGGCCATCTTGGCCGGGGACTCAGGCGTGGCGGCCATGTCGTGACGAGACTCTGGAAGATCAGTTGAGACGTGATGAGACTATAGAAGGGTGGCCATTTTGTGAAGAGACTCCTATGTGGCGGCCATCTTGCGATGAAGCTCTTGAATGCGGCCATGTTGTAAAGAATCTCTTGATGTGCCGGCATGACGTGAGCAAACTCTGGCTTGACAGACGTGTCGTGAGCAGGCCCTGGGGTAGCAGACATGACGTTAGCAGACTCTGGCTTGGCAGACATGACGTGAACAGGCTTTGGTGAAGTGTTATGTTCCTCCTGCATGACACCCTCAGTGAAGGCAGAGCCACTCATTCACAGAGCAAAGTCTATATATTGTTCAAGTGACCAGTGTGGGATATTGCGTGGCATTAAACTTGATACATTTTTGTCCGGAAAATGTCCTTAAGGAATGTTTCATTAAAATCTACCTGGTAGTAAAGCTCACAGAACTCAGCCACGTAATCCTCTATGGATAGGTCTCCCTGTCGGAGATGAACTAGGCAATCTGCTGGGTTCATTTAGCTGTAGGTAGTGTATTCTGTAACGAATTCAGTCCACTGAAGGCGAGCGTAGTGAAGAACCTAAGTGCAGTTTATTTACAGGTCATCCAAACATTAATCCGAGACTTGACATGACATAAACAGACTAGACTCACCGACAGCGGGTTACAACATCAATACACGACGAGAGACGATGGCAACATGAGGGCTACTTAGGTTTACTACATTTAATTAATAATAATAAGTGAGATAGAATGCATTATGCAATGATAATTATTTCAGATAGTATTAGTACAAAATAGTAGCAAATTGTTGTCACATTAACTGCATTTTGGCAGACACTTTTATCCAAAGCAACTTAATGCGTTGCTATACTGCATGTGTATGGAAACACTGTGTATTTATATCTGGCTGTCCTTTCACAGGATCAATTTTATCACTGATGTTACATATATAAAATTTTTTAAAAATGATGTATGCATACACACACACACACAGGTTTGTTTTTATTTATATTTTATTTATATTTTATGGGGACTCTCCATAGGCGTAATGGTTTTTATACTGTACAAACCGTATTTTCTATCACCCTACACCAACCCTACCCCTAAACCTACCCCTCACAGGAGACTTTCTGCATTTTTAGATTTTCAAAAAAACTCATTCTGAATTATTTATAAGCCTTTTGAATTACACGGACACTGAAAATGTCCTCATAAATCACCTTCTCGTTGTAATACCGATGTCATACCCATGTTATTATACAAATTTGTGTCCTCACAAACCACATAAACATGCACACACATACATGCATTTGTTAGTAAATCTGAGACTAATGCAACCCATAGTTGCCAAGGCAAAATTCATTTAGTCTCCATTTAGTTTAACCTAATGTACTAAAATTACCAAAAACAAAAAATTACTAAAACTGTGTAACAATTTAGAAATGTAGAAAATCTGTGTAACAATTTATTTTAAGATGATATAGTTAAACATGTACTTACTGTAGTAAAAAAAATTATGCATAAATACAAACAACCATCCCTAAACCAAACCTTAACTATAACCAAAATTTGCATATGATGTAGAGCATAAATACTATCCCCTGCAGGCACAGTATGGTTGTATGCTATTTTGAACATGATCAATCACTCATGCTCTGTTTTGTGTTGGTTCAGGTAATAAATTCTCCTCGTCCCACGCGCGTCTGCTGGTGGTTGGGGTGTGGTGTTACGCTGCAGTGTTTGCAGTAGGTCCGCTCTCTGGCTGGGGTCAGTACGGATCAGAGCCTTACGGCACTGCCTGCTGCATCGACTGGCACGCGCCCAGCTACAACACACCTGCCATGATCTACATCATCTTCCTCTTCATCTTCTGTTACATCGTCCCCTGCACCATCATCATCCTCTCCTATACGCTCATCCTGGTGACAGTCCGGGGGGCCCAGCATGCAGTGCAGCAGCATGTCTCTCCTCAGAACAAAATCTCCAATGTGCAGACACTTATCGTCAAGGTAGGAGTTGAAGGAGAATAGATATGCCACAACTTGTTGGAGGTGGTGGTAGTAATACTGATTGCTCACTAGTGTGATTGATTGAATTAATTTATTGTATTTAACTGATTTGATAATTTTCTAAATAACTAAAATGTCAAGTGGAATAATTAATCAGGTAAACGTGATAACGACGATACTTTATTTTGATAGTCCACTTTAGAACTACTACTAACAAAAAGCAATATAATTAATAAATATCGTTCTTGTCATTGTATACATAATGTTACACAATGTTAGTGCAACTAAAAAAATGGAGAATTCAAGCCCAAGATGCTGAAAACCTTCTTTCTCTTTTAGAGAATTTTGGTTTATGCAATGTTAAGGCTAAAGCTTGCCCAAATGAAAGATGTTTCTGCCAATACAGTTATGTTATTTGCAATACAGAAAGTCAGATTTGAATATTTTAGGAGTTTTATTCTCATGAAGTTATGTTAGAGCTGCTAAGCACAAGAAGCATAGTTTAGTGCTTCTGTGAACAGTAACACTATGTTAGTTCAGCTAAGCAAATTAAGAGAATGCAAGCCCTCCTATGCTGAAAACCTTCTTTGTTACAGAAAGTTACATAGCATAATAGACATAGCATTAACATTAACAAAGATTAATAATAAATGCTGTAACAAATGTATTGCTCATGTAAGTTAATGCATTGCCTAACAATAACTAATGAGACCTTATTTGACAACATATTCTCATACTCTAACATATTCTCCTGAAACCATGAATACATATGAGTGCACAGATCATCATTTGTGTTGTTTTTAGTCATATTCATGTTTAGTAAAAAAACATTTATTTTTAAATTATGAGTGATGACAGAGATGAAATAATGGAAAGTGTGTCAGAGTTAAACATGTGGACTGTTATGAGTGTTTGGTTTTCATTCTTTGGAACATTTGTAATGTCAATTAGTAGAGATTATCAAGGCAAGCAACACTTTCACACCAAGGATGATAACTCTAACGTTACCTATTAGGTTTAATAATTGTTCTTCTCTAAGAACTGCACACCAAACCACAGCTATAACTTTAACAACAAAGATAAACAATGATGCAGGGGACTGAGTACAATTCTAGCAGTTCCAGTTGTTACCACTAGTGGGTGTATATGCTTATGTTGAGAGGCAATTTACCTGTTGCAGAAGAACATTCTGTCCTGTTGGATAGTCAGGTCATGCTTGTTGTTCAATCCTGTAAGATAAGGGCAGTTATTAGTAAAGATTACCGATTGCATTCCTCTCTCTTGTGTGGTTTTTTATGCCAAGTTACCACAGATATAACTGGAATCACTTTTAGAATTTTATTTTTTTCCCCAGCTGATAAAAGATAAACATCTAATTCAAATTCACTTGGCTTCAGATAGCTGGAGAGCATTTAAAGCTCGCCACTGAGAACAGTGTAGTTTTTACCGAGCAAACAGCAGAAACGGCGAGAAAGACCGCGGCAGCTGCCTGTGACTCCTGGCAAGAACTGTGGCAGCTGATACATAAAAATGTTTATATGCTTATGTTGAGAGGCAATTTACCTGTTGCAGAAGAACATTCTGTCCTGTTGGATAGTCAGGTCATGCTTGTTGTTCAATCCTGTAAGATAAGGGCAGTTATTAGTAAAGATTACCGATTGCATTCCTCTCTCTTGTGTGGTTTTTTATGCCAAGTTACCACAGATATAACTGGAATCACTTTTAGAATTTTATTTTTTTTCCCCAGCTGATAAAAGATAAACATCTAATTCAAATTCACTTGGCTTCAGATAGCTGGAGAGCATTTAAAGCTCGCCACTGAGAACAGTGTAGTTTTAGCGAGCAAACAGCAAAAACAGCGAGAAAGACCGTGGCAGCTGCCACGAACTCTGGCACCTACCGTGGCATCTGGGGATGCCACCGGAAGTGGCGCTGCGACCTGCCGCTGCCAGACTTTAGAACTACTACTAACAAAAAGCAATATAATTAATAAATATCGTTCTTGTCATTGTATACATAATGTTACACAATGTTAGTGCAACTAAAAAAATGGAGAATTCAAGCCCAAGATGCTGAAAACCTTCTTTCTCTTTTAGAGAATTTTGGTTTATGCAATGTTAAGGCTAAAGCTTGCCCAAATGAAAGATGTTTCTGCCAATACAGTTATGTTATTTGCAATACAGAAAGTCAGATTTGAATATTTTAGGAGTTTTATTCTCATGAAGTTATGTTAGAGCTGCTAAGCACAAGAAGCATAGTTTAGTGCTTCTGTGAACAGTAACACTATGTTAGTTCAGCTAAGCAAATGAAGAGAATGCAAGCCCTCCTATGCTGAAAACCTTCTTTGTTACAGAAAGTTACATAGCATAATAGACATAGCATTAACATTAACAAAGATTAATAATAAATGCTGTAACAAATGTATTGCTCATGTAAGTTAATGCATTGCCTAACAATAACTAATGAGACCTTATTTGACAACATATTCTCATACTCTAACATATTCTCCTGAAACCATGAATACATATGAGTGCACAGATCATCATTTGTGTTGTTTTTAGTCATATTCATGTTTAGTAAAAAAACATTTATTTTTAAATTATGAGTGATGACAGAGATGAAATAATGGAAAGTGTGTCAGAGTTAAACATGTGGACTGTTATGAGTGTTTGGTTTTCATTCTTTGGAACATTTGTAATGTCAATTAGTAGAGATTATCAAGGCAAGCAACACTTTCACACCAAGGATGATAACTCTAACGTTACCTATTAGGTTTAATAATTGTTCTTCTCTAAGAACTGCACACCAAACCACAGCTATAACTTTAACAACAAAGATAAACAATGATGCAGGGGACTGAGTACAATTCTAGCAGTTCCAGTTGTTACCACTAGTGGGTGTATATGCTTATGTTGAGAGGCAATTTACCTGTTGCAGAAGAACATTCTGTCCTGTTGGATAGTCAGGTCATGCTTGTTGTTCAATCCTGTAAGATAAGGGCAGTTATTAGTAAAGATTACCGATTGCATTCCTCTCTCTTGTGTGGTTTTTTATGCCAAGTTACCACAGATATAACTGGAATCACTTTTAGAATTTTATTTTTTTCCCCAGCTGATAAAAGATAAACATCTAATTCAAATTCACTTGGCTTCAGATAGCTGGAGAGCATTTAAAGCTCGCCACTGAGAACAGTGTAGTTTTTACCGAGCAAACAGCAGAAACGGCGAGAAAGACCGCGGCAGCTGCCTGTGACTCCTGGCAAGAACTGTGGCAGCTGATACATAAAAATGTTTAATAATAATAATAATACAATTGTGGGAACTTTGCATCATCATTTAAATAAAACAGCACTGAGAACAGTGTAGTTTTAGCGAGCAAACAGCAAAAACGGCGAGAAAGACCGTGGCAGCTGCCACGAACTCTGGCACCTGCCGTGGCATCTGGGGATGCCACCGGAAGTGGCGCTGCGACCTGCCGCTGCCAGAGAGAGTGGAAGCTCTTGCTGTCAAATGTCTGAAGAGCAGGCAGAGATCAGTGCTGAGACAAATAGTCCAACAATGAACTAACAGGACAATTAAATCGATGAAATAAATGAATGGAGTTTGATTTATTTCATCGATTTAATTGTCCTGTTAGTTCAGTGTTGGACTGTGAATAATTCTGAGTTCATATTTCACAATTCTGACTTTTTTCCTTGTAATTCTGAGAAAAAGAGGAAAAAAAGAAAGAAAGAAAAAACATGTGAGGTAAAACATTGCAATTACTTTTTCCCCAAAACCTGTTTCTGTCAACAACAAAAAAATCCTTTGTAATTGCATTTTTTTTTTTTACTATTCTAAATTTATATCATGCAATTCTGCATATTTTTTTATTTTTCTCAGAATTACTGGTAAAAAGTCTGAATTGTAAGATAAAAAAAATCAGAATTACCTTTTTTATAATTATTATTATTCTGTAGCGGAAATAAGCTTCTGTACCTTTTTAAGATTATTTGACCCAAAACAACAAAACAAAATGAATTTTATTCAGATTTTAAATGATCATGTTCACTTTCTAGAAGATGTATATTCAAATGTGTTTTTATTGTTTGTTAATGTCCTTTTGAATACACTTAGTAATCCTGAAAAAAATCATTTAATTGACCCATTGCAAATATACAGTATGTCTGTCTGAATTAAAGGATGTGTGTTGAAATTTTTGTCAATGTATGTGTTTCCTCTTCACATAGCTGTCAGTGGCAGTATGTATCGGATTTCTGATGGCGTGGAGTCCGTACGCTGTGGTATCCATGTGGGCGGCCTTTGCTGAACCAGACTTGGTACCTCCAATAGCGTTTGCCCTGGCGGCCATGTTTGCCAAGTCATCCACCCTCTACAATCCAATGGTCTACCTCGTCATTAAGCCCAGCTTCCGAACATCCTTGTGCCGGGATGCCACAAGATGCAAGAGAACACTCTGTCCCTGCATATGCCAGACTGACAGCCAACAAAAAAGCACAAAAAGCCTTTCAAAACTGAACACAAAGGATAAGTGTAACCTCATGTGGGTCTCTAATGGACTGAATGTGAGCCACCAGTCATGCAAACATTGTCCAGAAGGACAAACAGGGCATTACCTGGACATCACACCCCAAAGAACAGCACGCATTCTCATTGGCTCCACCCACAGTGAGGTGCCAGTCAGCCAACTCTCCAACGAGATCAACAGCGACTTCCTTTAGAGGATGAGAAACTGATTGTAGCAAAAACAAAAGATGTGGTCATGAAACCTTCTTTATCTTCGCTACATTGGAAGAGGAAATACATATGCCTTAAAGTCTTGCAAGAGGATATTACAACACTCAACTTGTTAACTAAACAAAAAAAACTTTTTAGCTAACTGGTAACTCAAGAAAGAATATCAAGAAAAGGTGGATTTGGTAGCAAAACTGAATGTCAAACTTGGACTTGACATGTCACTCTCAAATAATGGTTCATCCAAAATGAAAATTCTGTCATTATGGATTCTTTCTCATTCCTTCCAAACATGTATGCATGAGTGTACGATTATATAGCAATGACGCACCAGAATAAATGACGTTTCATGATGTAAATGAAGTCAAACATGACAGATGTCTTGAAAGGAGCCGTATTAGACTTGAGCTACAGATTATAAGTCAATGATGATTTCAGTATTGGTGTTTTTCTTGCACAAAGCTGTCATGTGGCTGTGGTAGAGTGCAAAACTTACATGTATAGAGCTATTTGATTTTTTCTTTTGTCATTTTTTGAGCTTAGATACAGTAGACATGGTTGCCATGAAGTATGAAAAAGAGCTGCATTAAGATTCTTCAAATTCTGCTTTTGAAGCATACAGGTTTGGAAGGTGACTGCAAATACATAATTAATGACAGAATTATCCTTTTTTTAAACAATTTTTCATGCAACTGAGCAACCGTTCATTCAGGCTTTTTGTAGACAGTTACTGGTTAATTTATTTATTTTTTATTATAATTTTTTTAAGTGGGACTTAAACTTCAAATCCCATGATTTCTCTTCCAGTGGGACATTGGTTATCAGTGCATGTCTTCAACGCTGCCTATGCATTTATTTATTTATTTATGTATTTATTTATTTAAATGAAGCCTCATATGCAAGTAATATATTATGTATTACATTGTCAAGTCTATGATGGAATCTGTTGTTTCCACCTGTGAATGGAAATGAAAACACAATTATATTTGAATGACAGAATTAAAGCCTATATATTTAGATATTTAATGGATAAAATGTTATGATATCCAGCAACCCACACTTTATTTATTTATCCAAAGATATATCTGATAAAGCAAACAATGAATTTCCTCATACAAAATGTACAGCTTCTACACACATTGAGAAAAACAAATCAGTCAAAACAATTTAAAATCATTGCAATACATTAGCATTGCTAACTTGAATGTGTTCCATCTTTATTTATGCAATACAAATTGCAGATATATATCACCTGAAGGTCCTTTGCTTATAGAAAAATGAATCACTGGAAAATTATTTAAAATTGTGGAGATTAGTCCATTAATCAAGCAACCAAAGCACACACACACACACACACACACACACACACACACACATATATATTACAGTAAAAGCTTTTTTAGTGTAGTTGCACTGTTATCTTGAGTCATTTTTATTAAAAACACTGATAACAGCATATATACCCCCACTTTATTGGTATTTAGTAGCCTGTTTATGCTGAACTTTATTCTTGAACAGATGGCGCTGTATTAAGCAGTATATAAGAAGTGTTTCTGTTGCTCATAAAAACATTTCTGTGTATTTGACAAAATATTGCATTTAATTTACTTAATCTGTGATAGAGTATGCAAACACTGCGAGAGCATCATTACCGGGAGCAGAAAGTGTCCGACTTGACGTCTCCATCAAGACATCTTTTAATTCCGCCCCAACTGCAAGTGGCTACTCTCGCCAGCAGGCTAGTGTAGTGCATCTCGAACAAGCCTATTGTTTGGTTTTGTCATGTGTTCCTCGTCAAAGTATTTAAGCCCTCTTGGTTGCCATGTTAGTTTGTCATGTATTGATTTTATTTTCTGTACGGTAAGTGTCATGGTTTCAAGTCGTTTCAAATTATGGTTTAGTTTTGTTTGTTTTGCTCTCGTTAAATGGAATAAAGCTGCACTTGGGTTTATCTACAACTCGTCTCCAGTGGGATTCGTCAGAGAATACACAACCTTATAAATAAACAGAGCAGTTAATCGTCTTCACCTTCGTCAAGACAGTCAGGCCTTTGAAGATTTTGTGGAGGACTTCTGTGGACTTTGATCAAGTGAATTTTAATGATGTAGCACTTAAAGACATTTTTCATTTTGTTTTATATGAAAATATTTCTCAGTTAATGCCTCTCCATACTCCCAACTGGACTTTGGCTCAATACACTAATTATGCCCTGTTGCTCTATGGTTCTTCTTTTACTGCGGGTATTGTAGAAGAACCCCACAATCCCACAGTACCCACCACACCAGAGTGTTTCCACATACCATGTCAGGATTTATTCACGCCACACCTGCCAAGCCAGAGCCTGTTCACATCATGCCTGTGGATGCGGAGCTTGGGCCAAGACAGATGACAGAATCAGAATCAGAATGAGCTTTATTGCCAGGTATGTTTACACATACAAGGAATTTGTTTTCGTGACAGAAGCTTCCACAGTGTAACAGAATGACAGTGACAGAACAAAAAACACAGATAATAAAAAATAAAAAAGTAAATAAGGAATGTTCAGGGCGGGTGTGGGGTGCTTTTTCAAACCTGCAGTAGAACTTGTTCAGATCGTCTGCCAGTTGTTGATTCTCCGCAAGGCTGGGGGATGGTGTCTGGTAATTGGTGATTTCTTTTAGACTTTTCACTGGAAGAGAATTGAATCCTTATTTTTTCAGAAGCAGCAGAGTTTGAAAAATCCTTATTTGTCCGGGAGAGCAGAAGGAGTTCGTCAGTTTTGTTGGGTAGAGAGCGGAGGTTAGCCAGATGGATGCTAGGCAACGGCGTTCTGAATCCGAGCTGCCTGAGCTTCACGAGCGCGCCGCCTCGCTTCCCCCGTCTGTGCGTCCTGAAGCGCTTGATCAGCGCCGCAGCTCCCCCGACTACAATGTCCAGCAAAACATCAGAATAGTTGAAAACCGGTGAAATATCGGGTGGTGTGTACTGCCGAATGTCCAGCAATTCGTCTCTGGTGAAACTGATTGCAGGGATATAACTAAAGACAGGACAAACTAACAAAAACATAAAAACAATTGTGGAGCACGCCACGGAGGCAGCCATCAGCGTTGGCGCCATCTTCGAGTCCCCTGTCTCAATCATGTCATGACTAATGGCCAGTGTTATACACCAATGATGTCAGTGTGAGCGGCTGGCTACCCAGTGGCCACAAAGCTCTCAAACCCTGTGGCTTCAATGCTGTTCAGCCTGGAGGTCCTCCCTCTGTCAGCTGTACTGCCCATGATGGCGGTTGCCATCTTGTGTGTATGGGCTGCAAACTGTTCTCCAGTCCATGAATCTGCTCCAGAGCCTGCTCAAGCCCAAGAGCTCAGTCAGTGGTCACACATAAAACCTCTGCCAGTCCTGTCATGGCTAAAGAGGCTGTCCCTGAATTCACAGTCAGCTCTTTCACGGCCAACGAGGCCATCCCTGAGCTCTCTCCCTATCCTGTCATGGCCAAAGAGACTATCCCTGAACTCACAGGCTTCCCTGTCATGGCCAAGGAGGCGGTCCCAGAACCCCTTGCCTGTCCTATCATGGCCAGGAGGCCATCTTTAAACAACGCCTGTCATGTCATGACCATGGAGGCCACTCACAAACTCTCTGCCTGTAATGTTACTGCCACTGAGACCGTTCAAGGTTACTTTGCCTGTTCTGTCACGGCCATGTCTCTGCTCCCCATGACCTCCTGACCTGTGGTGGTCTTCTGCTCTGCAGGCTTCACCTTGGTCACCTACTCCGCTCTGGTCACCTGCTTCCTCTGGCTCCACCCTGGTGGTCATCTGCTCCACTGTGGGGATCCTCAGTCCCACTTGCTCTGCCCTGGTGGTCTTCAGCTCCGCCTGCTCTGCCCTGGTGGTCTTCGGTTCCACCCTGGCTTCCAGGCTTGCCATTGCTCCACAGTCCAGGTCCACAATGATTCCACGATGCACGTTCTCAACTGTTTCATGAACTTCTGCTCCACAGTCTAGACCTGCCATTGCTTGGTTCAGATCTGCCCTTACCCCATGGTCCAGTTCCACCACTGCTTCACAGTACAGGTCCACCTCTGCTTCATGGTCCAGGCCCGCCATTGCTCCAGGATCCTGTTCCAGTTCTACTTCACGAACCTGGCCCTCCATTCTGCCCCCCAAGACCGCCTCCAGTCCTCCACACTTCTGGACCTTTTTGTTTGTTTTTGGGGTTGGTGTTTCACTAGGGCATCAGGTGCCGTTCTTAGAGGGGGGAATAAGTCACATCTTTTTTGGGGTTTTGTTAACATTTAGGTTTCCATGTCTTTTGTTTTGTTATTCTCTGTCATTGTTCCTGTTTGTCATGTGTTTCCTTGCTCCTCATGTGATCATGTCACGTGCTACACTTGACCATGTGTTATGTTCTGATTGGTTCCTTGGTTGCATGTGCCATGTTCTCATTTGTTGGTTTTGTCATGTGTTCCTCTTGTCAAAGTATTTAAGCCCTCTTGGTTGCCATGTTAGTTTGTCATGTTCTGATGTTATTTCCTGTACTACTGATAGTGAGTGTCGTGGTTTCAAGTCTTGTCAAGTTATGGTTTAGTTTTGTTTGTTTTGCTCTCATTAAATGGAATAATGCTGCACTTGGGTTCATCTACAACTGGCTAGTGATGGCGAGATGAAGCCTCATGAAGCATTGAAGCTTTTCAGACAAGTGGTTCAAAAAAGGGTCCATTTCTCGAGGCTTTATTTGCTCACATTACCACCTGGTGGCCAAAGAGTGTAAAACAAACAGAGACATTACAGATGAACTGATGTGATCTGTGATACATTGTATTTTGAGCCAGTTAAGGCTTAGAAATAATGGTGAAGAAAAAAAATCCACTTCCACATAGACTAATCTATTTATATGAATATAATGTGTGTTTTCTAGTTGTATATAATGCTTCTGTAACATAATATAACATAACTGTGTAATAAACGTATTGGCTTGAAATGAATGGGGCTATCGAATGTGTGTAAATGAAGTCTTTGCTCATAATAGGCGGGAGGGGCAATATTATTA